TTAAACTCCTTCCTTGATTTATTATCCAGACACAGTTAAATATTAACTTCCACTTCTCTACAGTGGAAGCTGCTGAATTCAACCACAAACTGCTGGGAGTTAAAGGTCCCATATGTAAGATTGTGAAGCATTTTAATTATTATTTAATCACTTTTTATTGCCAATGGGTGAGCAGGTTGTAACATAACATAACCTCCCCCGACATTCTTTGTTGCCTGTGGACTGATTTATATGTGTTTCTCTGTAGGGATGAGGATTATCGTTCCTCTCTGAGTCCGCTAACGTTCACAAACGGCCGACACAAAGTCCAAAGTCAAAGCTAACGTTACTGCAAAGCTTGTGGAATACATTGTGATATTGTGGTTTTATCTGGCTAACGTTAACTTGCTTGCTAACGCGGACAAATTACTAGCTTCATCCAGACTCCCGGGGCTGATCTGGCTGGCGAGTGCGTGGTTTTACTTACGTTAGAGGTTTGTCAGGGTTTGTCTGCTGGAGCTGTTTTCCCAGACCGAACCCAAAGAAACTGATGGCCATCATCGGAGCCACGCCCGCCAGAGGAGCCCCCATACCCTTATAGAGGCCGAGGATACCCTGAACACACACACACACACACACATATAGACATGAATTAAATGGGAAATTTACAGGTTCAATTTACCAGTTATTTTCTATTAATCAGTTGACCATGTTCTCGATTAATCAGTTGGTTGTTTCGTCCATAAAATGTCTGAAAATGGCGAAAAATGTTCATTAATGAATTAATAATCATTTAATGACGTCATCTTGCTGCGTCCTCTTCTTCTTCTGCGATGGTTTAATGGCACCGACAGGAGAACTAGTTCCACAAGCTGTTTATCTCTATCAATCTGATTTTCTGGAAAATTGTTTAAAATGTGTGCTAGATTTTCTCTGTAATAAGTGTTTTGTGTATCATTGTTGTGTATGTGTGTGTGTGTCTGTGTGTGTGTGTTCACCTCTTTGGATATGGTCTTGCGGAAGCAGTCGTAGGTTCCTGTGTAGAGCACATACTGAGCGCAGGAGGCTTTGGGCTGCGTCTGAAGCCTCACCTGGACAACAGACCAACATTAGAACAGAGTTTATGCAAGTTCAAACTGATTTAAGACTTATTAAGACCTTTATAAGACCATTATAAATCAGTTCAAGACCCATTTTACATCCATACTGGCAAAAAAAACACAAAGGATATAAAGTAAAATCTGCTTTGGTTCCATGGCAGCTTTCTTTTGTTGTTACAGCTTGGTCAAAATCATTTTAACATTTTAAGGCCTAAAATTCTGATATTGGATTGTCTTTTTAAGACCCTGCAGACACCCTGAATAAAGGTCAGCTGCACACACACACACACACACAGATCTCTGACCACGTGAAGGGAGGATTGTTGAGACATAAGATAAAGAGAAACACCCATCAACGTCTGCAGCTCGGGGTCGCTGATAAAGAAAACAGGGTGTTGTGAGCATCTGACAGTTAATGTGGGAATCAGATACAACATGTTCACATTTAAACACTCAGATAAATTACTTTTACAATTGTTGGCTTAACAGAAGGTCCCTGTGTGTATGTGCATAACCTTTGATTTATGAGTTAGGTTCGACACATTCATTCTAAAGTAACAAACACACAATGACTCTTATATTCATAGCTATAGATATTATATTATATTTCTGACAATAGATCATCCTCAGTGTTACACTCTGGACCTTAAAGTACATTTACCTGATTATATTTATATACTATTACGTCTTTTACTTGAACTGTATCTACAGTGAATGTTTAGTACTTTCATTTAAATCCCTTCCACTCAGAACTCAGTGTTTCTTCCTTCCTACAGTGTGATGGTTGGATGATGTCTGTGCAGAGTTTGACTCTAGAAGGATGTTTTTTACATTCATCTGCTGAAAGTGGAAAGCTTCTCTGAGATCACTGAAAATCAGGTTTTAAGGGGCGGGGCCTATGAGCATGATTTGTGACATCACAAATACTCAGGAAGTCAGTCCTGGTCCAGTCTGAAACTTGTACAGTGAGATCCAGCAGTGCACAGACACTGAGAGTGGACTTCACAGTGGAGGAGGAGACATCTTTGGTCCAGCAGGAAAACTTTTAGAAATAAACAGAATTTGCATATTCATAGATTCTGTATTTTTTAACGAGGCAGTAGGAGGAGATTTTAATGTGGAAATTACATCACTTTGTTTACATTACTGTTCTGAGTAGACTATGTGTATATATGTCTGGGCAGTAAAACATTTCTTATTTTAATAACTAGTAGTGTAACTAATTACTAATACATTTCAGTAATAATAATTAGTTAACATTACTTTTGTTGTCAACCTCTACTGATTTAAAATCCAACAATCACATTCCTGGGTCTCTTCTTGTGATCCTGTAGGAAAGTAGTTCGGAAGACAGAAATAGTCACATTACTTTGATTTTAACAAACACAACTCGATTTGAATCGCCTTTAAGTCTGAACTTTGTGGAGAAAGGACACAACCACTCATTTAGCACCCGCATTTAGCAGTACTTCCTCCACTGACTTTTATGTAATAATCTAACCTTTAGTTGCTAATCTGTAGTCCGCTCTAATCTAACCCTTCCACACACCACAGCTCCTGTGTGTTTTACAGCTGCCTCGTGGCCTCAGTGGCAGTCTAAGCTGATTTATCAATAATCCCCTCAACACCTACATCTGATCACTGACTTTAAACTTCAAACAAAACCCAGAATAAACCCCCACTAGAATAAACCCCCACCAGAATAAAAGCCCACTAGAATAAACCCCTACCAGAATAAAAGCCCACTAGAATAAACCCCCCACCAGAATAAAAGCCCCACCAACAGGAGAGAGCAGTGTAATGTCCTCTAAGGGAAGAATAAAGCTGTGTTAGACTACAGGTTATTGGACAGTCACCTTGATGGTGTCCAGTGGGTGTCCCGCCAGTAGCAGACAGGCTCCGGCGACCCCCCCAGCCACGAAGTTCTTGAGCGGAGAAACTCTTGCCTCTTCCCCCATCCTCTCCCCCGCATGGCCAGAGCAGACAGCCGGGCCCCGGTCCTCTTCACCCCGCAGCGACAGTCCGCACACACCGCCGCTGTTAGACACTGCGCCTGTCTGTCTGCCTGCTGTCTGTCTGCCTACTGTCTGTCTGTCTGTCAGCTGTCTGTCTGTCTGCTGCTGCCACGTACAGTGCGGCGCTGGACTTTGTCTCCAGAGAGCTGAGAGCGACTTTTACTCAACTTTTACTGCAGACTACACACACAGTTGTGTGTGAGTGTAACAATGAGTGTGACTTTATCCCCACTGCTGCTACAAACTGCCTCCTCTACACACACTGCACTATTTATACCGACACACATACACACAGCGCCCCCCTGCGGTCATATCACTGCACCAGCATGTGTACTCAGATACTGTAGGTCACTGGTTCCCGCTCTTTATCCCTTAAGGCAGTGGTTTCCCAACCTGTGGGTCTACTAGTACTAGAGGTCACCAAAGCTCGACATAGGGGTCGCATTGACTTCTTTTTATAAAATATTCTGTCTGTATTATGTGTTTTATATAATTCATACAGACTTAAAAAGCTTCTTTTTTGATAAATTCAGTGTTTTCTTGTCCCTGATGCTCGGTCATTGTTCTATTAGACATTTTACTTAACTTAGGATTCACTTTTCCTCACAGAAGTGAACCAAATGTTGACATATCGGCCTATTGTGTATATACGTTTTCTTGCAACCCCAGTAGCGAACCCTGGTGGGGGTCCTGACCTCCAGGTCGGGAACCAGTAGTACTACTTAATGAATGTCTTATTTATTTATTAATTACAGTACAATACAATTGTATTCATATATTCCACTAGTTTGTGAACCTAAGACCAACTGGTCCACATGAGTAAATGTGTGTTTTCACAAGAGATTGGAAGAATTTCAAAAATCAGACTTCCATTTTCCAGCTTTAGAATTAGATTATCTCTTTACACAGTGCTCATGGACAAATGGTGTCTCATTATGCAGAGAGCTGAGGTCTTTCTGTACATTATGATATAAAACACATGGGTATATCATGTTATGTCCAAGTCCATTTAAAGGTGAATTGCCATTAGACTCCAGGGTTGAGGTATCTGTACTTTAGTATTTCTGCTACTTTATACTTCCACTCCACTGCAATATTGTACCTTTTACACTACATTTATTTGATAACGTTAGTTTAGTTTAAGAAAAGTTTAGTTTAATTTAGTTATTAAACAAGTAAATTATATTATTATATCAATTAGACTTTATTGATCTCCAGAGGGAAATTCACAAGTCACCCAGCTGTATATAAAGTATCAAAAGATATAAAAATTAAGATTAGCCCCACAACATATAATATAAAACATTATTCTGACTTTCCTTTCTGCAAAATGAGTGCTTTTACTTTAAGTATATTTTGATGCTAATGCTTTTGTACTTTTCAGTACAATTTCCAGTGCAGGACTTTTACTTCTGCATTGTAGTATTACTACTTTTACTGAAGTAAAAGATCTGAAGGGTACCTCTTAATGGTTGATTTTCTCACTAGAAACTCTAAAAATAGTGTCTTCTTACTGTCCAGCCGTCATGTCCGAATGATAGACAAGAGATTAATAACAATGTTTGATATTTCCATCTCAGTGACCTTCAGTTTGCCTCACAGTAACGGTGGAGGTTGTTGGGCCTGTGTGCTGCCTTATGAGAATACCTGCAGACATTATTCAGGGCTGAAAAAGCTAAATCCACTAGATACTGGTACTAAATTCTTCTTCTTATCTGATTCCTCTGATGTCGGTTATGTCATCCCTGTTCATATATTTATATGTCTTAAATATACGTTACATCACTTCTAATGATGATATGGCAAACATCAAATTGTATTATTATTGTATATTATTATTTCAATGCCTGTTTGAACTTTCATTTCCTGGCTATTGTTATTTATTTGTGTTAATATTTTTTTGTTTATTGGTTCATTTTGTACATATTCCTGAAGACTGTCATTGTGTCTTTGTAAATAGTTTGAATAAAGAAAAAAAAGCAGACAAATTGACATACAAATACCATAAAGTAAAGCAGAAGTTAAATGAGGATCATATACACAAACCTTGGCAGGAATACTGGACCTTGTGTGACGCTGGAAGACGTCTTTACAGGATACACAAACATGTTGGTATTAGTGGATTACAGAGCAGGAGCTCAAAGGAAAAGTCATTACCTCTCTCAGAAGAGGACATACAGGATTAAAACATACGCTACATATTAAAGGCAAGAACCATATAGTGGAGTAATGTACTCATTGTAATAAGGTAGAAACTGTCAAACATATTTATGTATTAATAGATTAGAGCAAATATGATGAAGAAAGGAGGGAACACAGGGGAGGGGCTATTACACTGACCGGATAATTGGAAATAAATCATGAAAAGGACATAATCTTTTTATTAATTAATATTATATTAATTATATAGAACAATAACAGGAATAATAGAGAGACTTTATATATTTTGTCTTATATTTTCTGCCAATCTACTGCTCCACACTCCAGTCTAGTAGGTGGCGGTAATGCACTAATAAGCAACTATTAAAACCTGAAAAAGAAGCAGAAGATAGATATTTAATATTTCTCCATTATGTTCTTTCTGTGAAACAGAAATTGAATCAATTTCTCATCTTTTCTTCAAATGTACTCACAAGAGTTCTGGATTAAAGTTGCCTTATTGATTTTTTAAAAAGTTTTAAGAGATTGACACCCATATTAGAAGACTGAATTGTAATAAATTAGATACGTTATATTTAAGTTTACAGCTCCCTCGTACAATGTAATGTTTTGTTTTTGTTTCGTTTTGTTTTTTGCCTCGTCTTTTATTTTGGAAATATATATTTATATTCTTATACCTTATACATATTATTATTTTTATATATATTTGTTCTCTTTGTATGTTATGTGTATTTGTTTATTGTTGTTATTATTGATTAGTGATTGAAATACTATTTACTACAACGTAATGTTTTGTTTTTTGCCTCGTCTTTTATTTTGGAAATATATATTTATATTCTCAAACATATTATTATTTTTAGATTTATTTGTTCTCTTTGTATGTTGTGTGTATTTGTTCATTGTTGTTGTTTGTTGTTGTTGTTTGTTGTTGTTGTTGTTGTTGTTGTTGTCGTTAGCACTGCCGGCGCGCTCGTTCTGACGTCATCAACAGTCGCCACAAGAAAGCGCAGTAGCGGCGGGAGTTTTCGGAAACAAACGAAGAGTTTTTTTCACATTTGAAGAGAAAGTGAGTGAATATTTATATTATTATATTATTATAATATATAAGCACCCCGCTAACGCCGCAGAGACTTCACATAATAACGTTAAACTTTATTTAAAACAGGCAGTTAGCAGACTTTAGCTTCACGTTGGCCGTGTCACTTCCGCGTTTTAACTCTCTTGTTGTTGTTTTGTTGTTGTTGTTGTGTTCTCTGAAGCCTCCCGAGCTGCCTGTGGATCTGTGTGTGACTGTGTTTATCCACCATGACTCAGAGAAAGCGGCTGTCACACACACAGAGCTCCTCTCAGAGCAGAGTAAGTGTTCCTCCTCCTCCTCTGGATATTATCACTGCACCGAGTGAAGAAACACTTGTAGAAAGCTTTAAGATACTATTAACTACATAATGTTGAGTAATCTGGTGGTTATTCTCTTATTTAATTGCTTAAATATCCGCTCAGACGTCCCTGAACGCCTCTTCCCCTCCTCTCTGAACGTCAGCACTCTTTGTACAGAAACAAGTGAAAACCATTTATATTGAGCTGTAAAATACTATTAACTACATCCTATTTATTAATCTGGAGACTATTCTCTAACCTAATTGCTTGGATATCCGCTCCAGACGTGTTTTATAGCATTAAAACATGAATTGCTGATGTGTATCTGATGTGTTAGTGGCTGTAAAGTGTGCAGACAGTGAATCTCAGCCGATGTCTTCACGTTTAGAGGCAGTCTGGCAGCTTAGTGGCTCAGGAAGAAGACGATGACACAACGTTCACTCAGCCGAGCACGTCGCAGGTGCAGAGAGGGCTGGAGAAGCTCACACCTGCACAGGTCGACCAGAAGGTAACGGAAATAACACGGTGTTATTCTGAGTGACTGAAAGTGTCATTTTACTCTTCCTTAAAGATTTATTCACACATCTCATCTGTTCATCTGTCTGTCTGTCTCTGTTTCTTCAGTATTTGTGTATTTTATGTTCAAAAAAACACTTACTACCTAACCCTGTTTTTGTCTTTCCACTCAACTTCAGTTTTTAAGAGGGTCTTCTCATGTCTTCTCATGTCAAAGCCTATACACAAAGGGATTATTACCGTCACCTTCTCATTCTAAACTGTAAAGGGTTTTGGGACTAAATCATACAATACAGAACATTGTGATTTCTGTTCCTCTATTTATGTTTTTCTCTCCCCTTCACACATGCAAATCCTGACCTTTTTGAGAGTGTCCTGCTTAATGTTTGCATTTTCATATTGGAATCTGCTGTGCACTGAATAAACCATGTACAAGGTGCATGTGTGTATTCCCCGAACTGTGCATTGCGCAACTATGCTGGTTCAGTATAAAAGTTTAATAAGCCTTTGGTGCAATGAGAGGAGATGAGCTTTGGATCATAACCTAACCTTTCCTTTGCCTCCCCCTCCCTCTACTGCCCATTAAACACACATACACGCACATACACACTTCTCCCTAACTAAATATTCATGTTTGTTGTTGAGTGAAGGCACATGCACAAGCAGATCCCTGCATCACCCCCTTTTGAGGATGGATGTGCAAACACAGACCTGTAACATGGAATGAAGTAGGGAGGGCAGATGGCAGGCAGTGTTATTGTTTGAGCTGCCAGCACCTCTACTCCTGTGCAGTGTTCAGGGAGAACAATTGTTAAGAGTGTAAAGCAGGGTTAGAGGTCCACACACATCTATCATCTGTGTCTCCATCAGTGGAATTGGCCCCACTCAGGTGATTCAGAGGGAGATCAGGCCTTGCTCTGATTGGTCGGTCAGCAGAGAAGCGGGGATGGGAGTGGAAGGAGGCTTGAACCCTGTATCCTTTACTGTCTTCAGTCCTGAGGGTTTACAACAGAGTAGCAAGGTAGCTAGACAGTTAATGACAGTGGAATGGGAAGATAGAGACACTATGCAACTTACAACATATTTGGCAATGAAACACTCAACCCAAACAACACCAAACATACCTTGTGTATGAAAAAAGAAACCAGCATATCCTTTGCCCCAGCGAGCAGTATCCTGTTGAGTTACCATTTGAGGAATGCAAATCCTATATTCAGCAACTTTTAGCTCTGGTTTGGTCCTTTAACCCCTAAAAGAAGAATATATTTTAATAGTATTAACAATATTCCCTCTCTTCACCAGCCACCCATTTACTTAAGCTTTCTGCCATTTCTAGCTGTGCAGTTAGCTTGTGTGGCCTGCTGTGCTAGGAGAAGCTGTCCAAGATTTTATTTGAGCTAGCATAGTTTTGATTTTGTCATTCTGGCCAACTAAAACAATTTGCAACCCATTTCTCTTAATGAGCAGTCGCTTGATTCAATGTTTATCTCAAACATAGCTTAATGGAGCTTTAGTGCTGCTGCTGTTTTGACAATGTGTGAATTTGCAAAGCCTGCCTGTTCTCTAGTGTTCCAATGGCAAAGAGAATAGTTGCTAAAACAGTTGCCAGATATGAATATCTCCTTCTGGCTCTCTCTTTATCCACATGTTCTCAGTGCAGTACCCCTGTGCATCTCCCTTTCTCCTCCTCTTCCCTTTCCTCTCTCTCATTGTCTTTCATGCTTATACACAGTCAAACACACTCATACGTTCTCTCCATCTCCACCCGGTGAAGAGGTGCTCTTGTTCCCAGGCAGACTGGGTGGTCTCCTGGGGGAGAGGGAAGGAGCGAGGGAAAGATTGAAGCAGTTCATGTGCTCGGACTTCAGTGGAGAGAAATAATAGCTGACATCCAAAACATGTGTTGGTGTGTGTGTGTCTTCCTGTGTTTTCTTGTGTTTTTATTTATCATTTTTTATATCCTGTATAGACTATTCAATCAGTCTTTGATGCATTTCCTGGCATCCATCTCTTGGAAACTGTCCCGTGTGCAGAATGCATATTTATAGTACTGTGTGCACATGTGTTTCTCTGGACATGTTTGGTATATGCAATAAAGGAATCTGCTCCATATTTCCTTGACTGTGGGCGTTCTGGGGGATGGAGGCAGGGGAGAGAAAGTCCTACTCAGATTGATGGGGGAGGAGGTTTGTAAAGAGGAAGAGGGAAGGAATAATGAGAGGGAGAGAGAGAGAGAGGGAAAGGAGGTTTGCAAGAGAGGGTGAGGCAGAGGAATGCCTGAAAAGACCAAGGCAGACATGTCAGGGAACAAATTGAAAATGCCAATTTCACTTTAGCCCCCACCAGCCCAGCCGCTTACAGGCCAGCCCCGGCCTCTTATTCCATGTGTAAATGAATGGTGTCCACAGAATAACACACAATCACCTCTCTCTATCCATCTCGCCCTTGCTATTTCTCTTTCACCCTTGCTGCTGTATCATCCTCTCTCCACCTCCTTCCCCTGCCCACTCTCTCATGCTTCTTATCACCATCTTTTCATTGTTTTGCTCCCTGCATTCCACTCACTCCACCTCTTGTCTTTTTCAACACATCAGCTATTCCAAACATTTCCCAGCCTTTTAACCGTCACTTGTCACTTTCCTCCCCTTTTTCTCTCTGCGCTCTGTCCAGTGTTTGTGTCACTTTTCAGATTTCCTTTCTCGCCATCTCCAACTTACTTTCCCTTTTCTATAAGCGCCTGCTGCCTTGAAGGAGAAGGTATCTTTTTCACAAAACTTGTATTAATCATAATTTCTGCCCTCTTCCTCTTCTCCTTTTCAAATCTCCTAAGGTGCAAATAGTCATGAATATCTAGGGCTGCAACTAATTAAATTAAGTAGTATTTTTTATCAATTGTTTTGTCTACAAAATGTAAAAAAATCATAACTTGCCAGAGGTGACATTTTCAAATGCTAACTAAAACTAACGAAACTAAGTTGTCTCTTTGAGTGTTCTGCTAATCACCTCCCACGTGGAGTTACTCAAGGGTAAAAGTTTCCTCTTCAATAGTTCATGTCTACTAAATAAATTAGAGCACCAAAATGTGCCTGAAAACAAATTTTGGAAGACTTAAAATAAACTCCAAAAGCCAAGTAGTAGTTCTTCTGAGATACACGGAGACATCTTCCTTTATTTGGATATCATCATCTCTGCCTCCAGGGTCCAGCTGAATGTAAATCATCCAATCACAAAAAGTGAAGAATAAATTAATCAGCCATTCACACATTGTGACATTGCAGTGTCCTCTCATTTTCTTATCTTCTCTATGCACATTTCTCGGTCCTTTCCCCCCTCAAATGCGTTCAAATTCACTATTATTACAGATGTCAAGATAAGTCTCACAGTATCACATTGGAGTATGTGATATTACATAGTGGTAAAGTTGTAGCTAGATTGAATCTGTGAGGGCCCCATAGCCTCAGGCTCTGGGCTTTCACATTGGATTTTATCACCACTCCACTAGAGGAGAATAGTCCTGCAATCTCTCACCCCAAGGCCATCGAAGATAGTGACCATACCAGTGGTAGTGAGAGTGACTGGGCACCCTTTGACTGACAGAGGCATTAAGTTAACATGGCCTATCTCAAGTCCTACCAGCCATCAGCCTCACATCACTGCAGCAGCCTCAAAGCACAGAACAGGCTCAATCTTGCTATCTGGCATCTGTTTTATGTTGTATCAAAGACCGTTAATGAATGGAGTATCTAATAATGCAAAATGTGTCTCAGATTGGGGGAGGGGTGGGGTGGGGGGGCTTCTTGATGAATGAGTATTTTCAGATGATTGTCTTTTTACCTCTGTTT